CCGTGCTCTTAGGGCCCAGCTCCATCTCCTGTGGTGCCGTGGTTGTCTCTTCCGCGACTTGTTTTTATTATGGTTTTGAGAGTGACGAGGGCTCTGGAGGATGAAGGACCCCAGTCTGAACTTGAATGCGCAACTCACTAGGCAGGGGGTCGCTGAGCGACCCCCGGGAGGCTAGTTGGCGGGAGCCAGACGCCCGCATCCCTTTTCCCCCCGAGATTGCCCTTGCAGGTGGTCTGTGCTTCTCCTCCCCCCCTGCCCAGCTGGGCCTGATTGCCCCCAAGTTCCCCCTCCGGTGTGGGGAAAGTGGCGAAATCGAGACCGGGGCTCCGGCCGGACGGTGTAGGCCTCGCTCTCCCGGGGCTCCTAGCGACAGGCAACTGAATCGATAGCCTATTGCTCCCGGGGAGGCCCCGGCCGGGCTGGCGGCGGCGGCGACTTCTGCCCCGGGCGAGGTGCGCGAGCCGCCGATGGGGGCGCTCGCCGCCACCGCCCCTTCCTCCTGGGGGTCGTGGCCCGAGGCGAGGCGGGTGGGGATGAGCTTACGCAGGGGAGGGGGCGGCTCCCCGAAACCCGGCTGAGAGGAGGAGGGCGGCCGGGCGTTCCTGCTCGCCGCCTGTCCTCTTCCGTCCCTTTTCCTACATTGGGAAGGATGAAGGGGGAGCCCAACGCTGGACGTGGCGCTTAGCTGCACCCAGGTCGATCCTCGATGGCTTTCTAATTTGCGTCAGTAGGCAGCTCGCCAGAAACTTCTGGGATCATGGTTTAGCATCAGTCTTAGTAAGTTACAGTCGGAAGTGACTTGGGGGGTAGGGTCCAGTTTGGGGGTACAGAGATAAGACTTCTGTGATGTGATCATTGCACGGTAAACTTGGAATTTCTCCAGAACTGACCTGACTTTTCCACCCCAGATCGTTTTCTCTTTGACTATGTAGACTTTGGCCCTAGAACATCAGCGGAAGAAACCTGATATTATGCTTCAAACAGACCCCCCCCCCAAACAAAAGCTTCCTTCCCCTACACCTCCCATATAAATTTTTACCTAATTTCAAAACACAAACGGAGAGAAAATCTCTTTATTAAAAGAAGGAACGTCCAGTTTTCCCCCAGTTGTTTCTTCTGTATTCATAATACTCATGTCTTCTCAGACCGATGTATTTCAACAGAGGTGTTCCCAGACACAAGTCAACTTTTCTGCTGACCTGAGGGGAATATCAGGGTACTCTTTCACAGTCAACTGAACTAATCATGTTAATTAAATCATAACTACTCATACATTGCCCGGTTTAACACATTTTAAAAAATAAGTTTATTGAGATAATTTACATAACAGAATTTACCCATTTAAAATTGAACATTTTAAAGAGCACTGAAAAGTTCTCTCCAGTACTCTCGCACTGTGGCTGCCTGTAATCCCAGGGACACAGGAGGCTGAGGCAGGAGGATCACAAGTTCAAAGCCAGCCTTAGCAATTTACAAGACCCTATCTATTTATAAAAGAAGGGCTGAGGATGGGGTTCGGTGGTTAAGCGCCCTTGGATTCAATCCCCAGTCCCACCCCTCCCCAGAAGGAAGTTCTCCATATTCCACAGTTATTACCTCCCATTCTCTCTGTGTGTGCAGTGGGGGCGGCGGGGAGGGAACGGGAAGGAGGAGAGGATGTATTGCTGGCCATCAAACCCTGAGAGAACCTGGCGCATGCACGCTATATCTGTAGCCTCACTCCTCTTATCCTTATGTAGGATCGTTTTCTGTCTTATGTGAACCCCAATTTTTTTCTAGTCTTGGCTAGTTAACTTCCTTTAGCTTAATTTTAGCCTGTAGAAGAGAGGGGTCCTTTGCACCGGGCAGGCTCTTGTTCTAGGAATTCATTTCCTTACTTTTTTTGGTCTGAACTACCGGTTTTCATCAGTGCTTCCTGGGTTCCAGACTCCTTTGCCCATTGCTCCTCCCTCCCCCACTCTCCTCTCAGTTCTTCCTGTTTCCTTTTCATCTACTTCTGCCCTAGTTCTTAGTCCTTCCAGCAGGTTTTTCCACTGACACCTCAAGTTTGGCTCCAAAGAACATAGTTTTGTTTAAAGCCTTTTAAGCCATTTGCCTTCTATTATGAGTACAGCTTGTTAGAAAGTTCCTCCTATTTGCTTCAGATAAGGAATCCCCCTTTGGGAGTTGTAATACACCTTAACTTGGTTAAAGCCAATTAATTTTTTTTTCCTGGAAAGTCCTTCAATAATCTTCCCAAGTTTAAAACTATTTCACCAGCCATGTTTATGTATTTTTTCTTATATATCATTGTCACTTACTAATTCACAGTAGATTGGTGGGATACCAGATTCTGGGAGGTTTTAAGATTTCTTTTGTGCATTTTGTTCTGTGTCTTGCCTGGGTTAGTTAAAGCCCATTAAGGGAGGCAACTAAAATGATAGATTGTTCATAGTTTGTTCAGTGTTTTCATTTACTAATTGGGTAGCTCACTTTTTTTTCTTTTTTCTTTTGTAACTGACATATAGTATTTGATATAATTAACTTAGACCCAGGGCAAAAATAATATTTGTATGATTCTTGTGACCATATAAAATGCTATTAATTAAGGGTTTTATCAGGCCTGCAGTGTTTAAGAGTAAACCAGAGAAAATCAGGACCCAGAAAAGTGCTTTATTAGGAAATAAGATTATGGCAGTGACAAGTAGGAGAATGATTATTTGACACTTGAAAACATTAAAATATTTCAATATAAAAAGTGTTTTTCTTTGTTGTTGGGCAGAAAAGGGTGTCACTGTGATACCATGTTAAGGCAGTGTAATATAGTGGACATGTCATTAAAATCATTGTTGTCATTTAAAATGTCATTTTTTAGTTGTTACTAAGCATCTCTGAGCCCATTTCCTGAGGTATACAGTGGGAATACCAAGGCCTACCTGAAAGGCTGCTGTTAGACCTATGTTAGGCAGAGTATGGGTTGGGTTCAGCACAAAATGCCAGGCCTTTCAGAGCAAAAGCTGAGATTTTCTTTCCCTTTTGTGCTTATAACATATGGTGTCATTCATAGTTGGCACTTGTTCTTAGAGGATTGGTAATAGATGACCTGTGCAAACTGGGTAACCAGGATAGTTTTGTGACTTTTAGATGAGAAATAAAGAGGTACAATGTAGTGTGGAAAGCACCTGGGATTTGATGTTATTTGATTTGAGTTGGAGGCTCTTCTAGTCACAGATTGTATGAATTTAGGCAAACCACTTCATTTCTCATCCATAAAATGCTTGTAACAGATTGCCCTAACTACCTGACAGGATAGTAGTAAATGGTCAATGAATGTTATATGTGAAAGTGTTTAATAAGCTACTTGTAATAAATAAATGTTACTTTTTATAAGTCCAGCTTATACTTGATGATTATTGTCTTTTCTTAGACTATATGAGTATTAGTCCTTTAAAGGATGAGAGAACAACATTGTTTGTTGAAGTGCTTCTTACAAGAGATCTTAACAACATTAAGGAGGTTGGGATACTTTACATATTTTGGGGATAATTGTTTTACCTTTTAGGTCTTTGGTTGCATT